ATATAAAAATTTTAATTTTCCATTTTTTTTGTATTATTATAACTTGCCCTACGGGAAGTTAATAAGTATTTGTATGTATCCTTAAGTTTCAAATATCAAAATGGATGTATGTGTGTGTGCGTGTGTATGTGTATGTGTATGTGTGCGTGTGTGTATGTATGTGTGTGTGTGTGTGCGCGCGGATACAAATTTTAACGGCGGTCCAGAAGATAAGGAGCTAAATGTGCAAAAAATGACAGATTTTTAAAGAACTAATCATCCGATTTCGATGATTCAAAAAATATTCGTTTCCTATTGGTGAAGAGACGTGCTAATTAGGTTTTGGCAAAGGTAGGTCTTGGCGTTTCGGAGATATGAGTCAAAAAGTGCCAAAGACGGTAACTCAGTTTTTAAGAGAACGGAGCGTCCGATTTTAATAATTCAAAAAACATTTTACTTGTACTGACAAGATGAAGAACTGATTAGATTTTTGGGAAGGCAGGTCTAGCGGTTTCGGAGATCTAGTGGAAAAAGTAAAAAAATGCCATTTGGCAGTCAAAAATGACCATTAGACATATGCATATCGCATTATCAGATATTTAATGGAGATTTTAATAATACGTATAGATTTTGTTTACATTTCTATGGGTATTATAGTAGTATCTTTCCGTAATATCGATTTTGTCCGTTAGACGGCGACGCGGCGCTTACGCGCTTCGACATTTTGTCTCTGTGCAACTAAAGCAGTACTTTGAACAAAATTTACAAAATATTTATAAAGAAAAATATTTTTTCAGTTTTATTCAAAAAAGCCATTTTTTCCAAAAATTTAAACTTTTTCATAAATATAATTTTTTCAAATTTAAAAAATTTAATCTTTTTTAAATAAATAATTTTTGGTACGGGAAATTCCAGCGATTTGACTTAAAGCACGATCCAATGCACCACTAGTTATGATTTATTAATTAAACCTTTGCATATAAATAAAAATGTTATGTCCACACATACCTAATTAATAATCTAATTCCATTCTCCATCCATCACTATTTTAAAATATTGAATGCAACAACAATATCTCCATTTTGATCATTACAATTTCACCATAATGTTTATATTTTTATTTTATCAAACACCTGTCGATCCTGATTCGAATCAAGATTCGAGACTCAAGACTTAAAGAGTAGACATACTGGCGGTTTTAAGAGGTTCTTAATCCACTTAACTATTGTGTAAGTTTGTTAAACGTGTTGCACAATATTGCAGAGATTGAAAAACTTGAAAAAAAATTGTTTACTTTTTTTCCTGATACAGTTTTCTTTAGAAAATTTAGTCCAACATTTCTTTCCCCTTTGGTACCTTGTCCACTGATCCTCTTTATCTTTTCCATTTTTGTATAATATAAATATATTTCAGGTAAATTTTGTCGATTGGTCTTGAAGTCCATATGTCTGATCCGTACAGAGTCATAAAGCAAATTTTATTAGTTTCTTTCGCAAGCTAAGTTGTTTTTAGAATTTTCTCTCTAACTAATACTAATAGTCTTCAGTAGATCATTCACCAGCTAGGTTTTTAGTATATACTAAAAATTTTTAAACTAAATCCAAAAAAGAAATAAATTTTAAATTACACCATAAGACAAAACTAATCACAATAATTGATGAAAGAGAAACTTTTTTAGTATATAAATATATATCGATATTTTTATGAAAAGGTTTCGAATCCCTGTCGCAAGTCAATTCTTCTATTCAGACAATCTGCAAAACGTCGCTTCCTCATTATTTTGTCAAGTGATACACTTATATTTAGATTAGTATACATGTATATATATATATATATATATATATATATACACATATATATATATATATATATATATATATATATATATATTAGGGTGGTCCTATGTAAAGCCATTTTCGAATTTCTTTGCTCCCAAGGGCTCAAACGCTTCCAAATTAATAAAAAAATGAATGCGCGTAAGGATCACACGCGATTGAAGTAAAACTTATTTGCTACTGTACAAGATGGCATCTAAGTAAAAATAAATACATCATATGACAATTTTGAATAATGTTCATTAGTAATATGGTAACACTCGTGATGCACACATTTATTAGTGCCGTCAATCATTATACACATTTATATAATGATAAATTATAAATGATATATTTATGATTGCGTTAAAAATATGTATAATATTTAAAAACAATAATGTAATTAAAGTCATACTTTAAATATGACATGATCGGTTTGTCATTGTAATGAGCATTCAGAAACAAACCTTCATTAGAGAAATGAAACAATTGCTGATTAATAAATTCTAAAATATTCGTTCACACAGTGGATTATGTTGAACAACGCCTAAAAATATTGTTTTTACAATTTCACTCATCATGTAATAATTGCGTTTGAAGAACTTCATGTAATTAAAATTAACATACATTCATTGACTGATGGTATTTTTTTTACTTTTTCGCTGGCGATATAATCTCATTCTTTGAACAGCTGTAATATCTGTCTTGCCTAAAAAATATTTTCCATTTTATTAACTTCAAAGATTTATAGACACTACGATTAATATAGAAATAACTTCTAATCAATAAACTTACGTTTAGTACACGGCACAAAAGTTTAATTTGTTTTATTATTTTCAAGGAACGAGTAAAATATTTTTCTGATTCAGACATTTTACTTTAAATCAAGATTTGTCCTACGATGTAACTTTAAAATGTTTATTTATCTATGCCGATTTCCTGGTTGATATCGGTACGCATACAACGTTGATGCCTATACGCATACAACGACAGATCTCTATTCACATACACGACGACTAATCACAATCGACCCGTATAGAAATGATATCACCAAGAGCGAATGACGAATCATTGGCTCTCAACTCTGCCGTAACGCACTTCCGTTGAATTTGTACGTATTGACACCCTAGTCGCGCCTAAAGAAATTTTACTTCAAAAAAATTCTGTAAAATTAATAACTCCTAATATTAACTCTACTCAAAATCTATGTTATGGTTTGAATTATTTATATGATCGGTTAACATAGTCTTCAATTGTTTGGTATATTTTTAGGTTTTGCCATTTGTGATGTTAAAAAACATAAATTTACTACTGTGCGCATACCATGAAGTAGAAATACTTTCATTTGTTATATTATGATGTAAAATTGTAAGTGTTTTCTTATTGATTTTCTATAATATTCCTTACATAGGAAGGCTAAGATGCTAGCCGAAACGTATGGATTTTGAATAAATTTCTAAAAACTCTCGAACTAATTTTTATTGATGTAACGCCCGACTTTTGAACTCAAAGAAAACATATATCTAAATAAAATAACAGTTTTTATTTTTTTTTCAATTTATTCAATATAATTATTGTCTTTAGTTAATAAAAAATGCACTTATACAATTTTCAATTTTTACAATTCGGCTTTACATAAAATATATATATTTATATATCTTCAACAGCATCTTCTCTCTAACTTTTTTTTCTTTACTAATAATATTTGGACGAAGGCGATCATTTCATAAAATATATACACACATGGAAATAGACATATGATATATATATATATATATATATATATATATATATATATGTATATATATTCATATATATTTTTATGTGTGTATATATTATATTTAACCGCATTTTCTATACATTGCTGAGCAAATATATAGCTTATTTATTTTATAATAATATTTAATATTATTCTTTTTTATATAATATCATACAAGTAATTTACAAAGCATTAACTTCTGCATTTTGAGCCATTTTGATTAGAATAATTTAATGAATTAAGAGTGACACGAAAAAACTACTTTTTTTAAAGAAAAATAAATGGATTTTTGTATTTTTGAGTTCATAAATGTGAAAAAAAATTGAATGTTTTAATCAGATAACTAACCAACTAATAACAAATTTTTTGGAACTTTAAAAAGATAGCAAATGATATTCAAAATAAATAATTTTAAAAGAAAAGTCAGAGCTTTATTATTACTAGTTTTACAAAGAAAAATCATTATAATTCCGAGAATTAACTAGTTTTTTTTTTATTAATTTTGAATTTTTTGAATGAGTTAATGAATTAATAAAAATTTTATTAACTGAAATTCAAAAAACTTTTACATTATTCTCGAATTGTTTCTTATTTTTTTACTGTTTTTAATAAATATATTTAAAGAAAATGCTTGAAAACTACCTATTTTAAAATTAGCAAAAATAATAGTTTTAAAAAATTAATATCTTATAAAAACGTGTTTAATTTATGAATTTAACGTTTTTACGTTAAATTTTTTACATCCATTAAACAAATCCAACATAAATGAACTAATAATTTAAAAAAATGGAATAGTTTTTAAATTTTTGTAGCAACACTCTTGATTGATGAAATTATTTATAAACTTCTATTTATGTTCCAAATTTTGTTAAAGTCCAAGAATTTTTTTTCAAAATCAATATCAAAAAATCAATATTTTGCACATATAAGCAAAAATCTAATCGTGTCACTCTTTTTTCATTTTAAACAAATAATGTGAAAAAAGTTAAAAATTGCACATTATCAGAATAAAATATAAATTATATATATAAATATATAATTTATATTATCCTGATCTAAACAATTATATTTATGGCACCACTATATATAATAAATCTTAACCAAGAAAAAATGTTTGGATTTTCATAAAATCCGAGTATAATTTGTTTGCAATTTAGAGTATTTGTTATTAATTTTATACATATAAATTTAAGTAGTTTTAAACAAAACAAAAATTGCTAGAAATTAATTATTACTTATTACAATTATTAATGAACACAAGTTGTTTTAATAAAATGAATGAAAAAACGGTCAGTATGCGGAAAATAAGGCAGTTTTGGCACTTTTTTATAATAACATCTAGTTTATAACACGTATGTATATATATATATATATATATATATATATATATTTATATATATATATATATATATATATATACGTGTAATTATTTATATATTAATATTTAGCGGTACATAGCATCTTCTCCAAATAGATTTCTCGTTGGTGTACTAGAATAAAAAAACATAATAATTTAATAATAAATATAAGAAGTGAATTTTTTATATTGCAAAAAGTACTTTAGCAAAAATACAACTAAAAAGTACTAAATATACAATATGTTACGATATGTTTGTGGTTACGTAGCATCTACGTTACAAGTGTTTCATTACTGTAGCTTCCAAGTCACAAAGCTGTCACAAAAAAAATTAAATTGAAAAAAAAATATTTGAAGAGATCAAAACAAAATGAACTACAAAATTTTGTGATATTCAATATTTAGATATAGCCACGTATAAAAATAGATATAAATAGAATAAGTATGAATTTTGTAATATTTGATATTTATTTTTTTGTTTACGTAGCATGTATTTAGTATGTAGGTTGCATATGTTTCATTTATGTGTCTTCCAAGTTACGTAGCAGTTACATAAAAATATTTAAAAACAAACTGAATTAAAACGTTGTGTGATATTTAATACTATGACACTTTGTTTTAGTTCACGTGTGTTTCATTTATGTGTCGCCCAAGTTATGTAGCAGTTACATAACAAAAATTCAATAAAATGAATAAATCCTGATAAATCATTAAAGTTTTGCCTTTTTGCTAAAGTACTATAAATGCAATACTATATGTATATTACTATATTATAAATATTTACCTTTATATAAATCCACCAAGCTTGCATTCCATGTTAATAAAAGCAAAAACAAAACTTCAAAAACCAAAATAACAAAAAAAATTATATTAATGATGATGATGAAAATTAAATGATGTTAAAAAATTATGAATACCCAGAATATTTTTCCATTCCGACCACTCGTTCCGATTATTATTAATAATATTATTTATATTATATACATATTTGTTTAAATATTTTTTCACTAATATATATATTTATAATTGTATATATTCGTATACATAATAATTTATATTTTTTATAATATTTATGACGATATATTTATATATGTATAAATAATTTGGTATTGCTATTTTATATTTTTTATAATATTTGATGATATATGTATGTATATATACATATAAAATGATATGAATACGATATATGGATTTGATCCTTTAATGATTTTTCTAACTATTTGCAGACCTATAATATATATATATATATATATATATTAGGTTGGTCCTTAAAATGGTCATTTTCGAATTTCCTTGCTCCCAGGGGCTCAAATGGGTCCAAATTGATAAAAAACAATTCTCTGCAAGTTTTAGCTCTTAATATTAACGTTTAGATAAAGCGCAATTCAATCAAACTTCGTATGGAAAAGCATGGATAAAATTTGAAAATTAAAAAAAATGTTTTAAGTGTAACTTAGCGACAAATAAATGAGTTTTATTCATTCATTTGTTCGCTAAATTACATCTAAAAACATTTTTAAATTTTTTGAAAATTTTTCCATGCTATTTCCATACAAAACTTTGATTGAATTGCGCTTTATCTAAACGTTATTATTAAGGGCTAAAACTTTCAGAGAATTGTTTTTTATCTATGTGGAATCATTTGAGCCCTTGGGAGCAAGGAAATTCGAAAATGTCCATATTAAGGACCACCCTAATATATATATATATATATATATATATTTATAATTTATGTACGTATATAATTTTTCAGTCAAATCACTTAACTTAAATTTAATTTAAAATCTACAAAACTTTAACAATATATTTTAAAACCAATTTTTCTGTTTGTAAGTTTTACTATTTCCAAACAAATTTTTGGTTCTATGTTTTAAATTATTTTAAATACCAAAAATTATATTTTTAATATTTAAAACATTAATAATGAGTGCTATAATGACTTAATCCACTTGAAATAGTAATAATATACCCAAAAAACGTAATGAAATGTAAAAGTTACGTAACAATAACATAACTCTATAGTGACTTAAGTAACGTATGATTATGATTATGTACTAGTTACGTTTTAGTCTATCTTTTGTAATTTATAAATATTTTATTTGTGACATTTAAAATGTCTCAATAAATCGAAGTTTTGATAATTTATTGCAAAAATATCACTGGAAGGGGAGTACTGTGGCGATGTTTTATTATGATGCATTACATTTTAATGATGCATATTATTTTAAATACCAAAAATTATATTTTTATTATTTAAAATATTAATAATAGTGCTATGATGACTTAACCCACTTGAAATAGCAAAATACTCAACAAATGCGATGAAATGTATAAGTTACATTACAAAAACGTAACTGAATAGTAAATTAAGTAACGTTATAGTTACGTATTAGTTACGTTTTTAATTAATTGCAAATATATTTTTAATATAATATACTCAGCAAATGCTATAATACGTATAAGTTACATAACAACCACGTAACTAAAGAGTAACTTAAATAACGTTGTAGTTACGTATTAGTGACATTTTAATATACTCAAGAAATGCAAAAAAACGTATAAGTTACATCACAGCAACGTAACTAAATAGTTACCTAAGTAACGTTATTTGTGCCAATTAAAATGTATCAATAAATCAAAGTTCTAATAATTTATTGTACATTTTTTTTAACATTTATTTTACTAAGAAAAAGTAACGTCATTACTGTAGGGGGAGTACTGTGGCGATGGTTTGTTATGATGTTTAAGAAAAAATGAATCACAATGTTAGGTACATTTTTTGCCAATGTTTTGGTGTTAAAGCGTGAAAAAACTTATATTATGTTAAAAAATATGGATTAAGCCAGTACAGCACAAAAATTCTAGGATTTATTTTTAATACTTAAAATTTATTAAATTAATTTTAATAAATCTATTACGTAACGTTGTTCAAATACGAGCTGTGTAAAAAAATTAAACTCGACGACACGAATAATAAAATATTAATTTTATCTTTCGTTTTATAAAATCTTTTCGCATTATTAAAACTCGGTCTCGGATATAAAATGTGAACAGGAGGAGGTTGACCAAAGTCGTCGAATTCTTGGGAATCTAAAAATACTAAAGATGATGGAATCCATTTGGGTCTGATAACCGAAACGTTAGAAAAAATGATACAAATAAATGATACATATAAATGATAGAAATAAATGATACAAGTGAATGATATAAATCAATGATACAAATAAATGATATAAATGAATCCCGGAGCAAGCATGAAATTTAAATAATTAGTTAGTTGTATGTTTGGATGAAAGCATGCAGTTTTTGCAATATTGAACACATCTTACCTTGTGCATCTCTTAACGTTGACTCCTGACAAAGACTTTCGCCTTAGATCAATAGATCTTTCGTCTTGAATTTCTAAATCGTATATGCATCCTTTGAAACCTGTACTGTACCTGCCTCCTGTTAAACTGAAGATATCTGGCGCACCACCTGGAAAAAGGATATTTAATCAATATCTAGTGGTATCCTGTACTCAATCTGTTAATGTCTTACTCAACCCTAATGGAATAATATTATTATACTTTATTACCTTCATACAGGCATAGCAAATCATAAACCCTCATCCCTTAATATATAATTTCAAAATATTAAATAATCCTTTCATTGTCATTGCATCAAAATATAATTTTAATTTAAAATGAAATGCATCATAATGAAACATCGCCACATTACTCCCCTTCCAGTGATATATTTGAAATAAATTATCAAAACTTCGATTTATTGAGATATTTAAAATGTCACAAATGAAATATTTTTAAATTAGACATAAATGACTAAAACGTAACTAATACGTAACTACAACGTTACTTAAGTTATTATGTAGTTACGTTGCTGTGATGTAACTTATACGTTATATCGCATTTTTTTGAGTATAATGAAATGTAACTAATACGTAACTACAACGTTACTTAAGTTACTATTTAGGTACGATGTCAGTTTTTGAGTGAACTAAGCGTCCGATTTGAATTGCTCTTGAGGATAAAAATTATTACATCTTTTTTATTTTCCATAAAATATTTTTGTAATTTTGGATTAAAAATTCAAAAAATTGCCGAGGCTAAGCACAGTCTAAGCGCCACCCTGGTAAAAATGTTTACCCAAGTGCGTTTAGACTGTTTATATACAGGAGAACTTTTTCAATTTTGTGAAAACTATTGAAAAATGTGAAAATGCCGCCAAGCTAAGCACAGTATAAGTAAAAGTGTCGCACAGAATTATTTGCAAATGCGTTTAGACTGTGACTATACGGAAGCACTTTTTCAATTTGTGTAAATTAGGCAACTATTTTTTTGAAATTGAATTCGAAATGAACTGACAATTGTTAATGTTCTGGAGATAATAAATTGATTTATGATTTACATTTGATTTGCTCAGATATAACAAGATAGCAAAAATAATGATAGTTACTGCATTTGTAATAATATATTAGAAAACGTTTAAAATTTCTCAAATATTTCATTACGGTACGGGAAGTTCCAGCAATTTGCCTTAAGGCACGATGCCATACACCTAGTGGCATCGTGCCTTAAGGCGTGCATTAAATCAAATCAAATATCATCTAACAAACACAAGTATTGATTCAAACTTCAACTAAGTAACATATCATCTATAAATCTTATTACTGTATTATTTCATTTAAATATACAACAATTTATCTACTTATCATCTTTTAATCGTTCTGCTTTAGCCATTATCTAAATATATCTGGTCCTTCAAAAATATAAACAAAGTGCAAGTGTATTTAATAAAGTTTGGCAGCATCTTGGTGGATCACAAACTTTATACATTTCTGTAATCTATCTTGTAATAATACAATCAATATCAATTATCCTGGTCTACTTACCAACATAAAGATTTCCTGGACAGTCCATTTCTGTGTCAACACCTTCGCTTTCTCCATACTCAGTGAACAGACCATCAATTTCGACACTGGCTTCTTTACCAGTTCTCTTCAAAACCACATTGTGAACAGCACCATCATCAACCCTTAAGAAAACGTTTCTGACATGTGCTGGTCCACCACCCAAATCGTAAGAGAACTCCAGGAAGGAATCCACCACTAAAAAAAGAAATTAGAACAAATTTCGTAAGAGAACTCCAGTAAGGAATACACCACTAAAAAAAGAAATCAGAACAAATTTCGTAAGAGAACTCCAGGAAGGAATCCACAACTAAAAAAAGAAATTAGAACAAATTTCGTAAGAGAACTTCAGGAAGGAATCCACAACTAAAAAAGAAATTAGAACAAATTTCGTAAGAGAACTCCAGTAAGGAATACACCACTAAAAAAAGAAATCAGAACAAATTTCGTAAGAGAACTCCAGGAAGGAATCCACAACTAAAAAAAGAAATTAGAACAAATTTCGTAAGAGAACTTCAGGAAGGAATCCACAACTAAAAAAAGAAATTAGAACAAATTTCGTAAGAGAACTCCACTAAGGAATACACCACTAAAAAAAGAAATGGTTGAGGCTAGGGTTTGTCGGTTTTCAAACCCGGTTTTAAAAACCGATTTTTTGGCGAAAATTATGGTATTCTAAAACCGTTTTTTTTAGTGAAAAAAGTCGGTTTTCACTGAATAAATAGAAAATGACAAATATAGCCAAATATAAAAGATAAATGCAAGCGTTTTGATTCTTAAAATCATATCGGTTCAATAGCATGTGATATCTTATCAGTCTGCAATGGTTCCCAGAAAGGTTTTGTATATATTAATTTAGATTTTTATATCAGTGTATATATTAATTTAAATCAATTTGACGAAGTAACTTCCTCTACTCAAACTTAAAAAAAAAAGAGTTTTAAACACTAGAAGCCACAAACTAAAGAACAAAGAACTTAGAATTATTATATCAGGCTCTAAAAACAATTAAGCATAATTTGGTCGCAAGTATGAGAGTATTTTCTATTTCAGAAAATTTTGTGAGTAAACAGAGGACACGTCTAAGTAGAAATTTGATAGACGTTCTCAGTTTTTTGAAATTATATTTTATTAAACAAAAAAACAATTAAAATGTTTAAAATTAATTAATTAAAATTGTTAGGAAAAGACAATACCCGAGTTTAGCGTAATTGTTTTTAAAACTGAAATTGATATTAATAAGTATGTATCAATATTTATCTAATTTTTTTTTTTTAATTTAATGCATTTTTGTTATTTAACAATGTATTATTTTTATTTATTCGAAAACTTTCTTTTCACTATTATAAAAAATTTTTCATTCTTATATGTGAAAATGATGCATGAATAACGAATAATTATTTCCAAAGTTATTTAATTAAGACAAACTATTATTATTTAGTTCTAGTTTAATAAAATTAAACAATACAAAAATTCAGTCAAATACTGCTCTAAATTACATTAAATTTGCGGATAAATTACAGAATATTCGAGCAAAAATTTATTTTCTATATAAAATTCGAAAACCGGTTAAAACCGGTTTTTTAGTAAAATTAAAATTCGAAAACCGGTTTTCTGAAATGTCGGTTTTTTGTATAAACCAGAAGCCATCTAGCGGCGAAGTGTTACATTTTATATATTTCATAAATGTGTAGTATTAAAAGTCTGTTTTTTTTTTCATTTAAATCAAATAGTTTTATGAGCGCTATTTCGACCAAAATTAAAATTAATCGTATTTCATCTAGAATTGACTTGGTTTTGGAATAAAAAATTGGTAAAGAAGTTCACAGGAAACACCATTTTTTCCTCTCTATTTACTGTACTAATTTCTTTGATTGTAGATAGAATAGTGCACATATGAATAGGATTTGACCAATCAATTCACTTCAAATATGAACTTAAGTAATAATGTATATTGAATTATTAGTGAGAAAAATGTAATTTAGATATTAAAAATACTAAAAGCCAGTTAAAATATGGTACGAAATTATAAAAGTTATAGTCAACGTTATTGAAGCAATTATTTTGGGTAGAAAAATTCTAGGTGATATTGTACCTGAATTTGTTATACCTTTTAAAAGACTTCAATTTTCAATACGTATATCTTATGCTATAAATCACAAAGGCAGACGATAATTTTTTGTGCAATAAATTTAGAAAATCAATGTTTTAGTCGTGAATAAACAAAAATTCATTCATTCATACATCCACATGTACAGGTATGACTAAAAAAAATCGGATAACCCTTGGCATTAAAATAAATTGAGCTATTGGAAATAAATTTGTGATATGAAAGTTAATTTATTACCTGCTAGCGAGATGTAATCTTTGTCTCCTCCATCGACACCAGCTTTTTGTCCATGCCAGAAAATAAGACCATTACTTGCGTTCGTTGATAAACTTAAAGCAATAACTTCAGTAGCACTTTGGTCGTCAGTATGGGGCAACAAACCTCTACTCAATTCCACATAACCATCACCAGCAAATGATACGGAACTATCAAATTCAGCAACTGCAAAAACCACAAAAATACATAACACCAATACTTTATGCACTATATATTAGGGAATGCAATACCGATTGAAAATTTCAATACCGGTATTTCGGTATTTTTTCATTTTAAAACCGGAATACCGGTAAATTACCGGTATTTTTATTATCTTAAACAAACGTAAACAAAATTGAAAGTTACTAGTACAAATATGAACTAGTTGGTATTGGTATTTTGCCTTGAGGCAAGTTACATGAACTTCCCGAAATGTGTAAATAAATAAATTAATTTATGAGTGATTATAAGTATTCCGAGTAGATTTATTATACATCATTGAAAACGAAAGAACACTTCGATAAGGAGTAGTTTCTAAAAGCAAATTTTCAAAAATCAATAATTTTTATAATTGAACCAGTTGCCGTAGTACTTCAATGGTTTAGTATGTTCATTAAGACCAAGTACACTATCGTTATACCAAGTAAATCGTCTAATTTTAATTTTAACTCACGTCAAAAAAACAACTTATTTTCTCAAACTTTGATGAATTTTTAAAATTAAACTACTTGTCGTAAGGCCGTAATATTACAGAAAGTGGTATAAGACCATGATATATATCGCTAAAAAAATTTCCATAAAAATCGGCTTAAATTCTTTTTTCAACAGTTAACCTAAAACTAATCAGTACCATTTCCAACTAATATCTTTCGAACAGTTTTAGATTTTTGAAAATCGGTTCGGTAGGATGAGCTTAAATATGGACAAAAAGTTTAACACTTTTTTACAAATTACAAAGAAACAGATTGGCAGATCGTCGCACAAAACTGATAAGCGATAGTCCTCATCGAAATACATCAAATGGCTCTTAAATTTCTGAAATCGGTTCAGACGTTTTTGAGAAAACGTCGATGAGAGGTCTAATTTTGACAAATGCCAAAAGAACGATACTAATTTTTGCAAACTTCGACGAATTTTCAAAGTTAAACCAATTGTCGTAGGGCCGTAATATTTTAGTATGATATAGAAGACTATAGTATCTACCGTCAAAAAATAATCATAAAAATCGTTGAATTTTTTTTTTAACACTTTATTACAAGAAAACGGCCCGGCCGATCTTTACCAAAAACTAATCAGCACGATTCCCAATCAATATCTTTCGAACGGTTTTTGAATTTTCATAATCGGTTCAGAATTGCGGGCTAAAACGTGCACGAAAATTTTTTCACCATTCTGCTATTTACAAAGAAACGGCCCGGCCGATCGTCGCACAAGACTGAGAAACGCTAGTCCTCATCGAGATACATCGAATGACTTTTAAACTTTTGAAATCCATCCAGCCGTTTTTGAGAAAACGTCGATTTACGGCAATAAATCTGTTCACACACACACACACACATACTTTTTCCACATTTGGTCCCATTCGATTCAGAATGGCTTGAAACGTCGAGAAAACATAAAATTAGCAAGCCGGATTTTTTGATGAAAACAAACTTCTCCTTCAACTGTACAACTACAACTGTATTCAACTAAACAATAAATTTATTTTTTTAAATAATAATTTAACAAAAGTATATGCAATTTAATTAATTCATTATCACTATCGAGAATATTGAGTACTTTTCACCAAAATCAAACTTATGAGTAAAAAAGACCAAAAACTCATAAAAGATCATATTACATTATTATAATAAACTCTGTATTGTCTGTATCCGATGTGTTGAATTAGCATAATCTCCAATATTTAAAAAAAATAATTTTTCTACACTAATTTAAGATTAAGAAATAAATAATAAGTTACTAAAATTGTTGAGTATTGTTATTTAAAACAATGTGATGCTTCTATAGTATTTTCAAACTTCAAAACGTTTTCAAAAAATATTTTAAGAAGCAAAAATATTTAGTAATTATCATAATTATTATGTATAAAGTTAGAAAAGAATGAAGATTACGCAGGGGTAATCTGTATGATATAAAATATTTTGGCGCAAATATCACTTAAAAAACCGTTACATTTTTACAATAGATGAAAGAAACATCATTATCTATCAGTCTAATTCTATTTATTGTAACACGATATGAAGCCCGTCGGAAAGCAATAAATATTAGGTTGTCAATTATCTCCCTTCCGCTTTTTTGCTCTTGGTTTATAATACAAAAAGGCGGAAGGGAGATATTTGACAACCTAATATTTGACATTTGTTTATCTTATAAAATCACTTGAAGATATAGCTGTTTATGCGATTATGGAATTTAAAGATAAATTTGTTCCGAGAAATTTAAACTTTAATGTATTATATATCAAATAGCGCTTATGTAAAAATACCGAAAATACCGGTATTTATGGAATAAAAACCGGTAAAAATACAGCCGAAAAATCGGGCGGTTTACCGGTAATTCGGTATACCGGTATACCGGTATTGCATTCCCTACTATGTATCATTTACCATACCGTCTTCGCAATTGGTTCCCATGAATCCCAATGGGCAGTAACATTGGTAACTTCCACCTAAGGCATGGCATGATCCACCATTCTGACAAGGTCTTAAAGTTTCACAAGGATTCAAAGCTGCATCACAAGTTTTTCCGGTGAATCCTTCAGGACATTGGCACATGAAATCGTAAGAACCAGGTTCCAAACGACAAATACCTCCGTTGGAACATGGGTTTGTATCACAAGGCGATGGTGTATGGTGGATGGCATGATGACCTCCGTGTTGACCAGAAGACACATGATCTCCTAGATGAAAGATAGAAAATTAGTAGGAGCAAGTGCGAAATTTTCTGGTCTAAAACACGTACCTCCATAAGATGTGTCATGGCTTCCGACTACTAAGTTGTCTTCATCATTTTCCAAGTAACCTGGTTGTTCCTCGTGTCCATTGCTGGATGAATCACATTGTCCTACATTTGCAGAATCATCAATAGAACTGTAGTCAGCAGCCAAACCGGCAACATCAATCTAAACATAAAGAATATAAAAATCACCATTTGCATTCCCCTCGACTATCTTTTTCCCAAAAATATTTTTTCCCCTAAATATTTTTTTCAAAAACTTTTTCCCCAAAATTGTTTTCCTAAAAAATTGAAAGATTATAGTCCTTGGTTTTTGTCCAAAAATTTTTTTCCCGAAATTTTTTACCCCAAAATTTTTTTTCACAGATTTTTTCCCAATTTTTGTTCCAAAGTTTTTTTTTTAAAATTGTCCATAAACTATTGTCGATAAACTTTTGTCCATAAAATAAGTCAATGAAATATTGTCCATGGTTTTTGCCCAAAATTTTTTACCCCAAAATTGTTTTACCAAAAAATTTTTCCCCAAAATGTTTTTCCCTATTTTTTTTCCTCAAAAAATCAAAGACCATGGTTTTTCCCCAAAATATTTTCCAAATTTTTTTCCCCAAAGTTTTTTTCTAAATTTTTTTTTTCTGAAAAATTCAAAGACTATAGTCCATGGTTTTTGCCAAAAAAAATTTTTCTCAAAATTTTTTACCCTAAAATTGTTTTACCAAAATATTTTTTCCCCAAAATGTTTTTCCCCAGTTTTTTTCCTCAAAAAATCAAAGACAATAGTCCATGGTTTTTCCCCAAAATATTTTCCAAAATTTTTTTTTCTCCAAAATTTTTTCTCGAAATGTTTTTTCCCAGTTTTTTTTCCAGAATTTTTTTTCTAAAATTTTTTCTCCCAAAATATTTTTTCCCCAAAATTTTTGTCTTGAAAAATTCAAAGACTATATCCCAAGATCCATGGTTTTTGCCCAAAAAATTTTTTCCCAAAATTTTTACCCCAAAATTGTTTTACCAAAATATTTTTCACCAAAGTTTTTTTTTCCAGTTTTTTTCCAAATGTTTTTTATAGTTTTTTTCCTAAAGTTTTTTTCTAAAATTTTTTCCCTCAAAACATTTTTCCCCAAAATTTTTATCTTGAAAAATTCAAAGACTATATCCCAGAATCCATGGTTTTTGCCCAAAAATTTATTTTTCAAAATTTTTTACACCAAAATTGTTTTACCAAAATATTTTTTCCCCAAAATGTTTTTTCTCAATTTTTTTTTCCTAGTTTTTTCCCAAAATTTTTTCCCGCAAAAAATCAAAGTTCTTTTACAAACATTTTTTTTTCTTCAAATTTTTAAGATTTTTTTTCCCTTCAAAAACCTTCCACTTACGTCTTTTACACATCCAACAAATCCTTGATCGACGCCAACACCAGCGTTCAAAGTAGTTTTCTCACCATCAAAGCCACCTACATAAAGTTTGGTATGAAGTGCCAAAGGTTTACGAGGCCCTTTCACCTTTTCTGATGCATCAGGCTGTCCAGAAACTGTCAATCTTGCTTCTCCAGCATGTCTTCCTGCACTTACCTTAACCCATTTACCTTGGGACAAAGGTTGATGGGAACGAACTACTGTCGGGTTTGCTCCGGTATCAAACCTAAATAAAAATTGATAATTAAAAAATTAAAGAATTAAAAAATTAAGTAGATAAAAATTGATTATTACAAGTTGTACTCACTTGAATTCAAGATGTCCATCTTTCAAAGCCAAGCTGACAAAATCACCATGGCCCTTTTCGCTTTCAGCACAGTACAAAATCAAACCGTCCTTGGAGACATCGTCTGGTTTTACTTCCAAGTCGAATCTTGCACGCCTTTTTGGTGGTGGTAGTGTCAAATATCCGTCACCTTTAGGAAAAACATTAAATGTACACTATTCCGGGCTAGTACATTATTACGGTAGTTTTTCATTTTGATCGCAAAATAAGAAAACGGTCAATAAATAATAATTTTATTCAATAGCACATCAATTATAATTTGAATCCTAATAAAATAGTACGACTTTCGAATTTAAATATGTATTAGTTTTTAAAGCCGTAAAATGCTTTTGAAAGACCTCAGTCGTGACCCGATCGCCATCCAATATACCTAGAATATTGTAATAATGAGAGAATCATTTATTTATACCTATTCATCTATGATCAATTATTTCTGTTATATAAATTGAATGAAAATACAGGTATACCCCGCGCACGGTATTCCTGTAAACACGATAGTTTTAATCCGATTAAGCTTTTGGAATATAACCATTATATAACCTGCACATTAAAAAAACAAACATACATCATAAGTTATTAAATTAATATGAATTGCAATTATTCGAAAATAAGTTGCCGAAGCTACTCTTGAATGCAGTAACTTTCTAATAGTCTAATACAGTTTATTAAATATTATTAAAATTATATTCAATATCAGTAAATTTATTTGGGTATGATTTTAAATCGGTCTTTCAGTTTTTCAAAAAACGATGGTTCCAATTAAATATTCACCCAAAACCCTGAAAAGGCTTTAAAAGAAATTTGCCATATTATATTAAATGTATTTTAAAGCTTCTAAAACATACAAAATTCCCAATCAAACCTAATTTAAGCTAGTAGTTATTGTTAACTTAAAAGTCTTTAAAGATTATTTTAAAGTCTTTAAAGATTTACGTTTGTTGGCAGAATTGTAACTTTCAAGTTTAATTTTTTATTTGAGTTAAATTAATATTTATTTTAAATTTATTTTGTTTAATTGCCGTTGAATATTATTCCTTTATTGTTTCATTTATTTGATTTACCGAAACAGTATTGATAATGATTATTATACTGCTATTACTTTAATAATACCAGCTTTTTTTATTTTTATTTTAGAAGTTTTTCAACTTCTTATAATTTTATGACTTTTATAAACTATATAAATGTTTTAAAATCATATCAAAGTGTTATTTTATAATTAACCGTACTTTTTATAACCTATTCAACTATATTTATCAAGGCAATACGATCAAAAATGTATACTTTGAGCGCTATCACAACTCCCGGCATTATGTTCACGGGCCGATTTTTATCACGGAATTAGGGACAAACTCGTGGTTCAGCAAAATGCCAGCAGATTATTTCTATAAATGAGGTTCTACGACGAAAAATCTTGTTTTATAATAATCTTAAAGGTCTAATTAATAAAATATAACAGATTTAGTTTAAAGTCAAACGTTTCTTGAGATCCCGTAATATGATACGTTTACCTTAGTTTTACCAAAATTATCAAACTAAAACTTGTGTTCATACTACCTTTGAATGAAGGTTCTGCAATTGCAACAGTCAATTCACATCTGCTTCCTGTTCTGCCAAATGGACAAGCACATACAAATCCACCTGAGGGTGCATCTGAACATCTACCAGCTCCACAAGCACCTATAATAATAGACATATAGTACACTCTTCACGACAATAAATAAAAACCATCGTACCTGGGTAGCACACGTCGCCACTTCTAGAACAATCGCTTCCAGAGAATCCTTCAGGACACAAACACCTCCATCCAGGAGCTTCTTTAGATTCTTGACATTTACCACCATTATGACAAGCATTTGCAGCACCTCCATAAGGCGAACAAGTTTCACAATCAGCTACCACCATCCCCTGAACCAAGGCATCACCCAAAAGTGAGGCATCACGTTTGTTTAGGGTCAAACCAGAAATACAACCTAGGGTAGAAAAATATCTATAGTAGAGATGGGCTTATCATAATATATTATATAGGCTTATCGAAGCCGGATCGACTCGGATTTGACTCCGCTTCAGGAAGGAGTTATATCCGCTTAACAACTCCACGACTCCGACAATTTGAAACTGAAATACTCGACACAAATGTGTTCTATTGTGCGTTGTTTATGCATCTAAAGATTTGTTAAATCCCATTTAATTTTTTGAAATAAAAATTTATGAATAATTATCAATAAAATATTTTTTCTAAGAAATTCACAAATAAATGACGAGTTGTAAAACTTTTCGGTCGACCACATGATCGACTCAAGGACTCGTAATTTTAACAGTGTTGACCAAAGTAAAAACGCAAAACTTGAGAATCAAATTCAATTTAATTATTTCCTTTCGATGAGAAAATAATTGATTTTTGGATTAATTTTATATAAAATAATGTAGTAAACTTTGTAAAAAAATCAAAACTGTTTATTATAAATATTTTCACCAAAAAATAATTTCTTTGCTTTCTAATTTTTTCTTCTGCTATTTCCATTCGAGAATTAATATTAGGTTGTCAAATATCTCCCTTCCGCCTTTTTGTATTATAACCAATAGCAAAAAAGCGGAAGGGAGATATTTGACAACCTAATATTATATCGGGTAGTACGATTAGCACATTATTACTTTTAGACAATTATATAATTGTGTAAATGTAAAAATTTAATACTATATATTTTTGCTGCTTAAGGGTTACAACTAGTGTAACCGCCCAAAAAAAGGTGATTTTTGGGAATTTATATTAAAAAAAATACTTCATCAATCATTTCAAAATTTTAGGAATATATTTATACATGTTTTAAGAATATATAGTAAAATTTTTGAAGAAAAAAATTTAATATTTTTTAAGTTATCGTCGATCTCCAACGACGCAAAAAAAGGCCCTTCACTGCTGCAGTGATTCCGGCCTTCTACGTAGATGAAATTAAAAAAAAAATCTCGTTAAACTAGATAATATTGCCTGTAAAATGAACTCCGATAAAAAAAAATCAAAAATTGACAAAATGACGGCGTTTTTTTTAAAAAAAGTCGAATTTTACCCAAAATTTTGGTCGTTTTTGGACTGCCAAAATTCGATTTTTGATCCGATCAAAAACTCGATAGTTCATTTTACGGAGAACGATATATAGAACGTGTAAAAAAAAAATTTGATAGTGATCGGAT